TTTGCCGGGAAGGGCAGCGGGACCGGGCTGCGCTCTTCGATTCAGAAAACAGCCTGCACAGGCCCCACCAATCCCAGCCTTTTCTGTTTTAACAAGATGTAACCTGACGCAGGAAATAGACCCACCCGGGATTCTGCTCCGTGGGCAACGGTGTACCCACCTGTGTGTGTCAAAGCACAAACGCATGGCACTCGCCTCCGGCCGTTCACACCAGGGAAGGGTCCGTGTCTCCCTTTTTCTAATCGAATGAATGAAGAACGTTTGTGTCTCACGGCAAGGCCAGGCCGCCTGGCCACCGTGACCTGTACATACCCCTCCAATTAAGATGAACAGTCACGGATCGGACTCCGCCCACCCCCTTTGGAAAGAGGTTCGGGAATGGGGTCAGTTGTCTGGAAACCTGTGGGAGCCAGAATCCAGCTCTGAGGGCCTGACCCGGCCCCCTGGGATGTCCGCACGACCGGTTCCCTCTGAGGTTGCGCCCCGGAGAGGAAGCCCGCCCTGGCAGCTGGGGGGCTGTCCGACCCCGGATCTCACACGCTCCGTCTGCCAGCTTCAGATCTCATGCAGGACCCAGAGGGAGGTCTGTGCACGGCTCCTGGCTCCTCGCGTCTGTTTTAAACGTTGGCTGAGACCAAACCAAAATGGGAAAGAAAGAAAACGATCTTCCTGAAGAAAAGCCCATCTTTGGATCCCTGGGAAATAACGTCCAGAGAAGACTGAGTAACTAAATGCGTGTTGAGAAAAGGGGCGGAGGGCGGAGGGCAAAGCTGGAACCGGCGGGAGGACTGGAAACAGTCACAGGCGTTGCTTCCGGCGGTTGGTTGGTTTTTCTGCTCTTCGTGCCTGTGGGGCTCGCGTGGTCCTTGCGAGGCGGTGGCTGTCTGTCTTGTCAGCTCTCCGGGGCGGGCAGGGCAGCCTGGGGCCATGCGGGGGGCGTGGACAGACTGACCGTGTCGGACCCTGTAACTCATGGGTGCATTGTTTTCTTTGGTGTCTCACAAATTATCCAGCTGTTGAATAAAATTATAAATATGTGAATACCAGCCTTTTCCAATAAAATAACAAATGTTACATCGAAAATGAGGCCCAGAATGGTATTTGTTTTTTATTTACTAGTGGCCTGGTGCACAAAATTTGTGCCAGGAGGGGTGGTCCCTCACCCCGACCTGCATCCTCTCCAATCTGGGACCCCTCGGGGAATGTCTGCTGGTTTAGACTTGCCC